ATTAACCCCCCCCCCCCCACTCGAATACCGACCGATCTGACCTTCCAATTTTTTATTATTATTATCACTCGCTGAAGATATTTTAGCTTCACAACACATAATTTCGTTGCTTAGCTTCTCTGATCTCTCTAGTCCTCGTCGTCTTTGTTCGATTGAAGTTTCGCAAGTGGTGATGGTAATCGGAGCAGCAGCGCGTGTAGCCATCGGCGGTTGTCGAAAGCTCGTCTCGTCACATACCTCTCTCCTCGTCTCTTCTCAGTGTCGCCAGGTAAATCTTCTCAATCCTTTCTTGATCTTCTGGTGGGGGAATATATTAGGAAAAATGAATTGGGTTTTGTCTGGATGTGTTTCTAAAACACAAAATGTGAATACTTTTTTATTTTTTGGTTTTATAAATTAAATTTGGTTTGAAAATGTGAATACTTTATGATGATGATGATGATGATGATGATGATACGCGTCAATTGAATTGATTATCAGATGAGTATGGACGCACAAAGCGTTTCTGAAAAGCTCAGGAGCTCTGGTCTATTACGAACACAAGGTCTGATCGGAGGCAAGTGGATCGACTCCTATGACAATAAGACTATCAAGGTCATATTACATCTCTGCATCTTACTCTCTCTTGATTTGAATGAATCTTTATATTTTGTAATGCTTTCTGTTGACATCTGACCTTCTTCTTGACAGGTTAACAATCCAGCAACCGGTGAAATTATAGCTGATGTTGCATGTATGGGAACAAAAGAGACTAATGATGCTATTGCTTCTTCTTATGAAGCATTTACATGTATCTGACCCAACTCTTCTCTTCTTAATTACTTGAGCTTCTTTCTTTTCTAGCTTCTTAGTATTACCTCTAACTGTTCTGTCTCTCTCTGCTCAATGTTATGGCATGCAGCTTGGAGCAGATTGACTGCTGGAGAGAGGAGCAAAATTTTACGGAGATGGTACAAACTTTTATCCCGTAGCAATGCGTACTCTTTTACTTTTGTAGTGTTGGATGGGGATGTGTTAGGATTATAAGTTCAGTCTACGATCACAATGGGGGAATGTTTTCCATGGATGTCAAATGCTCATGAAATTAAAATATAGTTTCAAGGCTTTGGAAACAACTGACTGCTCCCTTTTTAAAGATATGGGCAGAGCTAAGGTTCCGATCCACTTCGTTTCTCCAAACACAGGTACGACCTCCTGATTGCACACAAGGAAGAACTTGGACAACTTATAACTTTGGAGCAAGGAAAACCACTAAAGGAAGCCATAGGAGAGGTTAATGATTCTATTTATATTTGAGAACATTGAATGTGCTGTTTAGGCTTGTCTATCGTTTCTTAAATGCAATATATGATTCTGTAATTTAGTTTACAGGTGGCCTATGGGGCAAGTTTTATTGAGTACTATGCAGAGGAGGCAAAACGTGTATATGGTGATATTATTCCTCCTAATTTGTCTGATCGCCGATTGTTGGTTCTAAAACAGGTTTGCCCATTCATCCTTCTAAATCTTATACATACAGCTTTTATTTTTGAGTGACATAATTTTGCACCCTAAGCTTAACTTGTAGGTGCATAGTTAAATAATTGCCAGGCTATCTGGGCTTGGAAACTTGTGACTTTGCTCTGCATTCCCACCAACTTCTCAAGAAACGTTTTTGCAATTTTCTAAGTCTTGTAGCAATGCTATACGAACCTGGAGAACCTTAACCTTGCTTTGCGAATTCCATTTTATATGTGGAGATTCCTCGTGTATTTTTTTTCCATGTCATGTGGCTGTATTTATAATAGCAAGTGTTTACTTTTACACCTCGATTGCTTGACTCTCTTTATTTTCTATGCAGCCTGTTGGTGTTGTTGGTGCAATCGCCCCTTGGAACTTCCCCTTAGCCATGATTACTCGGAAGGTCTTACTTCCCCTTAGGCCTTACCTTCTCTTTCTGTAAATAGCCGTCTAGGATACTATCCCAGTAGATTATGTTGAACTTTTTTCATTAAATTTGATGTAGATGGTTGATGCTTTTGTAGGTCGGCCCTGCTCTTGCTTCTGGATGCACGGTGGTTGTTAAACCATCTGAACTTACGCCCCTAACAGCACTTGCTGCGGCTGAGCTGGCACTTCAAGCTGGAGTCCCTCCGGTAATTTATTATTCTTGACTTGAACTATACAACCCAGCAGCGTGTCTGGTCTCATCAAAGTTGATTCTCCCATGTCAGGGAGATAACCTAATAATTTGTAAAGTTCAAACTCCGTTTAAACATGTGATCTGATTTGATCGGCCCATCTCCAAGCGTTTGTATTGTCGTCAATGTGGCTACTAATCTTATGTATGGACCCATTGATGTAGGACTATGTGATTTGAAGGCTAGTTTTTAACGATGTTTCTTATGTGCTAATGGACTTTCTGGGCGGTCTATCTCTTTAGGGTTTTGCTGTTTGTTTTTTCTTGTATTTATAACACTTCATGATTCATTTGCATGTAATTTTCAATAGGGTGCACTTAATGTGGTCATGGGAAATGCTCCTGAAATTGGGGATGCTTTGCTTTCGAGTCGACAGGTTTCTCTAATCATCTTTGTGTACATTCTTTTATTTGTATCTCTGCCATTAGTAGTGATTCTTGATAAGTATCCTTATTTATTGAGTGCTTTTGTTTCTCGTGCTACTCAGGTAAGAAAAATCACGTTCACAGGATCAACAGCAGTTGGGAAGAAGTTAATGGCAGCTGCTGCACCTACCGTCAAGAAGGTATGCTTAAGCAACAATATCATGCTATTTAAAAAAATATTCTCTAGAATCTAGATCGAATACCCCTGGTACCTCTTCTTTTTTCTTGGTGTAGGTTTCTCTAGAACTTGGTGGCAACGCACCCTCCATTGTATTTGATGATGCTGACCTGGATGTAGCAGTAAAAGGAACGGTAAGTGATAGTCATGAGTTTTAGGGCATTTCTTAATTCAAAAGATGCAAAAATGTTGATCCACCTGAAATTACTCGAAACTGACAGTATCCCGTTTCTTTTCCATACGAGATGTGTATATAGTTTTACTGCATATCTGGTTACTTACGTCCACGATCCACCTATCCCAGCTCTTAGTTTCGGGCTCAATTTTCTTAGTGGTTCACCATGGGATCGTCAATACTCTTAAAACATTATATTTACTCATTTGATCTGTCATTGCAGCTTGCAGCCAAATTTAGGAATAGTGGTCAGACTTGTGTTTGTGCGAACAGAGTACTTGTGCAAGATGGTAAGAATTGGTCTGCTCGGCACACCCCTCAGGATCTTGATTCAGTGTTAACTTAATATATTTTATATTTTTCCGCAGGTATTTATGATAAATTTGCTGAGGCTTTTTCTGAAGCGGTTCAAAAATTAGAAGTAGGAGATGGCTTTAAGGAGGGGACAACCCAGGTATGTTCTTTTTCGATCTTATGCTTCTGCTTTGTAATGTTATACCCTTGATGATTGACGGGGTTAAAAGAATTATGAGAACTAAAGCTATTTGCTATCAAATCTTGATAACCAGATCATACTATTGGTACCTTGTTTCTATGTTCTGTCAAGTAGTCTCTTGTGCTCTCTGCTATTTTGCTGTAAATTTATTTGTCGCTTCAACATTCTTACAGGGTCCACTTATAAATGATGCAGCAGTGCAAAAGGTACATTAATCATACTTTCCAGATTCTGTCTTTTTTTCATGCACTACAATAATGTTTGATGGCAGTAATGTTATTACTCTTGTTCTTCATGCTTGATCATTTCAGGTAGAGTCATTCATACAAGATGCTGTTTCCAAGGTTCGAATTTTCCCTTATGCATCCTTGCTATCCTTGATTTCTAAGCAAGGCAGTTCATATTTTTTATTTGTGTGCGTTTCAGCAAGAAACAATTCTTGTATTTCCAATACTAACTCAAGGACTCTGTTCAAGTAATATCTTATTTATCGTTGTCTTCTTGTTAAAGGGAGCAAAAATTATTCTTGGTGGCAAAAGGCACAGTCTAGGGAGCACTTTCTATGAGCCTACTGTTATCCGTGATGTTTCGAATGACATGCTCATGTCTAAGTAAGTACTGAAAGAAATACACATAATTGCAGTGTTATATCTTTG